CCCTATCCGGGGCACTTGGGGTACTGTGGCTCCAGCTGCCGCGGCTTTGATGTGCTTTGGTAGCCCCCCTGTCCCTGCACTGCTGTGACCAGGCTCGTAACACCCCTTCCCCCCGCTCCTGGGTTCTGCTGTTCCTGTCTAGTGACTTTTGGGGACAGCCAGAGTTGTTAGGACATGGTTCAAAGAGGCGCTCTCGCAAACCCCAGCTTGCAGCATCCCTAGCAGCATCCCGGCGCTGGGTTCCCTGGGGCGGTGGCTTGGGACAGACTTCTGATCCTTGGGGAAACTGGAAGGGAGTCCTGAGCACAGTAGGAAGAGGTAAGTGGGTTCACATCGCCCCGGAAGGTTTGCCGGCATGACGGACCTTCCCCATGCAATGGTGGTGCCGTGAGGCAACCGAGTTGCTGCTGACAGCGCAGCAAGGACCCCTTCAAAGGACCTGGTAAAACTCATCCGACTTGTGCAGGGTGGGTCTGAAACCCCCTCAGACGCCGTCGTGAGCCTGCCGTGAGACACATCGCAGGCACGGTTAGCAGCAACTGAGCCAAGGGCTCTGCATGGGTTTGATGGCAGGGTTTAAAGAAGAAAGGGAGATCAAAATGCCAAGGACAGTGTTCAATCTTTGTGACTGCAACCACCGCATTTTACTTACAGCAGCCCAACCGCCTTCCATGTCGCGACTGTGGAACATGTTTGGCACCAGCCCCTCGCTGCTGCTGCTGCAGGGTTTGATCCATAGTGCTGTGTAAAGGGGGCTGAGACCGGGGGCATGGTGGCACCGTCCCCTGCAGCCAGCCGTGCTGCCGCCCAGCCCAGAGCCCGGCAGCAGAGCAAGGGCCGCGCTGCTCTGCAACCCTTTCTGAACGCCGGGAAATCTCCAAGTGCTGCCGTTACAGAGCGGTGACTGCGCAGCGCGGCCCTCGGAGGCAGCTACTGCCTCATGTAGTCACTCTGGGCTCACCACCGCCTTTTTTAGACATTATTGAGCAACTGAAACCCAATCAATCATCTTGTTCTTAATTGCATCTTGTCACCACTTTAGCTTAGCGTGTACGCCTTGCTTAGCCAAACCAATATGATTGAAGCACCGTGAAGAGCTCACTTGATGCTTTTGTATGAGAGAGGGGTTAATTTCCTAGGGAAAATGATGACTGTAAGGTGCATGTAATAAGCGGCTGTCCTGACCTCTAGCCTTCCCGCTCCCACATGTGCAATCACTGTTTGCGGTTTCTGTGGAAGTGCCAGCTGCTAAGGATTTTTGGCAAGAGTTTATCAATTTGAGTCAGTGTAAGATATTACTGTGATATGGCCCATTAAACATTTTACTTTCACCTGATCGGTGCCATTCCCTTGACAATAGCAGAGTAAAGCAGAAATCCAAAAGGTCAGAGGTTGCTGTATAATCTGTTACTGCGGGTCCCAGGTTAAAACCACAATGATCACGCTCCGGTAGGGTAATTCATTCCACAAAAAAAAGTGACATTTATTTTGCTTTAATGAACTTTGGCCTTTGCCAGATATAGCAGGGCCACTGGAAATCATTGGCTATGCATTCCTTCCCTCACCCAGCAGCAACCCATGGTGGCATGGGAAACGTCACACGCCCCCAAGGGCCTGACTGTGTCGTGCACGTGCCACCAGATGTGGTAGAATACGGGGGGAAAAACAGCTAAGGCATCACCCCACCCCACAGCACAGCAAGGGAAGAGGCGCTGGTATGTACAAGAAACGGAAAGAAAAAAGGAAAAAAAAAGTGGCAGTCTCCCAAAAACTCAGCACAAGATTATGGTTGCATCAGCTATAAAATTATTTTATATCTGGTTTTGTCCTTGGAAATGGATTGGGTTGTCAACATCCAGCCCAGAAGCAGAGGTAGAGTTGGGACAAGGCAGTTCTCCAAGCTGTAGGTCACGTTACACTTCACGTGTAAGTCCCTGTAAACACTAAAAATGCCATTTGGATCCTGCCCATAATAGCGGATGAGCGAGGTTGTGCCTATGTGTGGTCTATAAGCCCAGTGCGCATGAGGTGGTAAAGACGCTTTTCTGTGGCTCTACAGTAGCAGAGCAGAAGGGTGGGGAGGAAAATGTGATGAATCCACTGAGATCCGTGGTGGCAAATGTTTATAATGTGCCATATGAAACCTGCTTGCCTTCTGCCCTGCAAGCAGTGAGGATCACCTGAGTTCTTTATAGATGTTTGCTACCATGCAGAGAGAAAGGAAGTTGTTATTTATTTTGCAATACAAGGAAAGGGAAAAATAATTGAAGGGGATGCGTGAGAAAAGAAAATTCTTCCAATTTCAAAACATATCCAGGGGCTCACAACCTTCAACGGAAAATCCACATCCCTGGCAGAAAGCGAGACTGGTCACTAGCAAAAGCAGATGGGCGCGACGGACCCATCCCACCGGGCATGGCAGCAGCAGTTCGGGCTGCCACCGCAGAGGGCGGAGATGGGAATGCGCAGGGAGGGTAGCGCCACCCTGGCATCCTCCCAGAGACATCGTCTGCCACCGCGCAGCAGCGGGGAGGGTTTGCCTTGGGCCTCCGCTTTGCCGGCCGGCACTGCACGCACACAGCCTCCCCGCCCCGTGCCTTCCGCGCCTCCACCGAGTGAAAACGCGTGCGCTTAGCGTGCAGCTCAAACTCTGCTTTCTCAAGAAACTTCTAACACGCTTGGTCCACATTTCCATGCTGAGAAGGAACATGACCTTATTCTCTCCCCTGGACCCACCATCTGATCCTTGCCATCCACCCCTCCAAGACACCAGGAGGAGCCTTCTCCCCGCAGGCACTTGGCGGGGCTGCTCTCCTCCCGGGCACTCGGCGGGGCTGCTCTCCGCCCCGGGTGCGAGGCGGTGGGGGCCCCGCTCTGCCCCCCGCGCCGGGCGCCCCGGAGAGCAGAAGGTACTGAGCCCCCCCCCCGGCAGACTCAGCAGTGCTGGCCTGGTACCCATCCTCAGCCGAGAGGAGTCGGATTAACCAACGCTTTGGACTTGTTTTCGACTATTATGGTCAATATATTAAAGGTATTTATTTAAGAAGCTGCCTATCCTGCCAATCTTTCCCCATGAGCTCTATTTTGAACACACCCTATAATTACTGATATTACCCTGGCAAATTTTCCCCATGGAGTTTTCTCCACTAAGAGCCATGACCGTACTTGTCTGCCTCTCCACATTATAATTATCACCAGGCAATATTTATAACTATACTATTATTATTTATGATATTTTATGCCCTACGAAAACCTATATGACATACGCTCAAACTTCAGCATCTGAGACGTTCAGAACTCAGCTGGGACATTCCCTTCAGTCTGTGTACTGGTTCTTCTTACCCTCGCACCACCTGGCCAGTCGGAGCATTTACCGTAAAAACAGGAGTCGCGCCAGCAAGGACCCTGCCGGACTTGCGTCGGACGCCAGCTCAACACAGCTAAACCTCCCATGGTGATCTCCTCCATACTTATGTTTTCCCCTAGTTGATGCACATTTCAGGACTTCTGATGGCTCAAGCTAGAACTGTGTATCGTAGACCTTTGCTGAGGTGAGCTAATTAACTAAAGGAGTGCTTAATTATTCCAGATGGACAGTGGAGCACAGCACACTTACGCTTCATGCAAAACATAAATAAACAGAACAGAATGAACAACACATGTTTGCCAATCATGGTCTAGACTTGAAATTTGGCACTGCAGTACTTACAAACAAATGTAAATGTTTTATCCTCACACTTCAAAAAAAATTTAAATAAAGCTCTGTCTTATAAGCACCTTTAGTTTTAATTATTGGAGATCAATACTAGCCTAAACGCCTCTGTCCCTAACACACGTCTCGTCCCCAGGCTCATAGACCGTTCGTACCATGGAATCACTGGCCTTCTCCACAAACATTGCTGTTAACCAGCTTCCTCAGCATCATGTGCATAAGGACTATAAACTAATGAGCAGATCTAGGTTATGCAGAAAAAGTGTAGAAAGGAAACAAATGTTGAACGTCACATTTACATTAACTTCTCACAGTTCAAATGGCAATTTATCCACAACATAGTATGAATCATGCAGTAAGAAAAGGGAGGAATCTCCAGTTTCTTTGATTTATTTGTCATATGGTCGACGGATGTCAGTACCAGTGGCTTTAAAAAAAAAAAAAAATTTTAAACATCCAAAAGAAAGGAAGAGAGAAAGGAGGAAAAGGTCTATCTTTCGGCAAAATCCATTTCCTTTACAGCGACGAGCTCAAACCAAACCAAAGGCCGCTGCCGAGCAGGGTCTTCTGTTCCTTCCATGCTTGTCTCGTGGTCTGGCGCAAGCTGGGAATCAAGGGTATGGGACCGGTGGGTGCGTTTTGTTTACATATATATATGTATGTATGCAGGTAGGTATTAATATATGTACACATACATACACATATATGCACACAGGTACAGTCTTCCTAAAAATGCTCTTTGCAGTCCAGAGGCAGCAGGAGTCACTGTGGAGGAAGAGCTGGGCAACATATGGCTGTAGAGTCTGCACGGAAAAAGTCACTGGCTAAATACACGCCGGCTGTTTGTTTTCCTTTATTTTCATGAGGCGAAATAGGAGCTCTGCATAGAGTACAGCCTGTCAATGGGGTTTCCTACTCTAGCCTGCATGGAGTTAACTTCGGAAGAGGCAAGAAAACAGTCGCTCAAGCTAGTTAAAGAGGTATCACTGTCGATATCATGAAAAATGGAGTCGTTCCCTGCAAATGAAACGCAGACATTAAGCTGAGCTCTGTGCAGCCAGGGGA